GTTATATCTGTTAATGTCAGGTATAAAAATACTTGAAGTACATACTTTTATTTTATATTGTTCAGCTGAAGACCCAGCTATTGTATTGTCCTGACATAGCTAATGGCATCACTTCATTTATTGACAAGGGACTTCTTACTAACACAATACTTAAAGAAAAACAGGATTGACTACTTTTTTTTTTATCCTTTACATAATTTATTGTAGTACAGTTCCAAAAGCAGACAGTCCAGTTGGTTTCTTGTCCCTAGTTCATCATGTGGTCATGTTGTATTACCTTCAGGGCTTTTTTGTTTGTTTTACTTCCAATATAATTGGGCCTTTTACATTCTCTGTACTCCATCTATTTTTTGTATGTTTGGCAGTATTTTGAAATGCACTTGACCTTGTTAACAAGCATCTGACAATTATCATAACCTGACATGCCAAAAGTTACATTGAGTTTTCTCTTCTTATGGACACTAATTGCATACTTGAAGTGATGGATTTTGTTTCTTCAGTGGTGTGCTCCTTGATAAATTATTTGTCATAATTTGGGAAAGTGGTATGACCTTGTTTCTTCCATTTCTCTGAATTTCCAAAAGTGCATATTCAATGCAAATATAAATCATGTGCCATCAACTAACTGTTAGAAAATTATTTACATGGAAATGGGGTGATTCTGTCCTATTTTCTGATCAGCAGTTAGTGCTTAAGAAAATCAAGTAGAATAGAGAGACGACTGAATTAATCCATGTTTGGCATAATATATCATATTTAGTACCCTTATTAATCTTAGGTATCTGCCTGGAGAACTGTAAGGATACATTACTTAGTCTCTTCCCTGGAAGAAAAGCATTTCTCTCTCTTCTTCTTCCACATTCCTGCACCATTTTACCGCAAGCCCCCCACCTCATCCTGTACAGGAGCCCATGACTGCCATTTGTCACACTTTCGCTGTCAGAAATGTGTTGTGAGAGATAACAGATGAGTGACACTGGAAAGAACTGCATCTGTGCATCAGGACCTACACAGCTCATACACAAACTGCTGCATTTTGATGTCTGTGTTACTTGCATCTCCCATTCCTGAACACTTGGGGGACAAAGGAGAGAGCTGTGGACACCCAGGCACACTGCCTCCAAATGATTTCCCCTGAACCACAGAGCTGTAGCTCATTCCTCACGATTGGCCATACGTTTTAAAGACAGTGTTTGATTGCGGATGATTTACAACAAAGAGATTACAGAGGCTTCCACCAGGAAGAGCAATTGTGAAAAGTAAATAAGTAAATGGGCAGAGGGTAAGGAGAGACTTTTGAAAGAATGACTGAAGGAACTTCTGCATGCTTTCCAGTTCATGAAAAATGGGTGAAGGATGCAAAGAAATCATTCTGCCAATCTACAGAGGGGAGTGAAACCTGGAGCCCTCTGGTTAGAAAAAATAGCTTGTCTGAGCCCTGAATGTTTTAAGAAGAGAGTTATTCAAGTGAAAATTGCAGTTTGCAAAATCACAGAGTGGTCAGGGTCGGAGGGTACCTCTGGGTACATCAGGCCCTGCCCCAGCAGGACACCCAGAGCAGAGTGCCAGGCCCACAGCCAAGGCAGCTTCTGGACATCTCCAAGGAGGAGATTGCACAGCATGTACCAGTGCTTCCTGATGTTCAGGAGGACCTTCCTGTGTTCCAGTTTGTGCCCATTGCCTCTTGCCATGCCAATGGAATCCACTGAAAAGAGCCTGGCTCCATCCTCCCTGCACCCTTCCTTCAGGTATTTATTGACATCCGAAAGAGTCCCCTGAGCCTCCTTTTCTCCAGGCTGAGCAGATTGTACCTGAAGTCAGTATCAGTAAATCACCTTTTTCAAGACCTTATTAAGTTTTCTTTAGCACTTCCACATAACTGCTGTGCTGATTAACATGTTACTGAAGTCTCTGGGCTCTGGAGGTTGTTAGGAATGATGGAGCAGATACCCAAAATTCTTATTATTACATCTCCTATCATGTTTTTACAACCCCCATGGCAATTATAGGCAGGCTATTTTAAAGTACTTCCTGCAGCCTTTTTTTTTTTTTTTTTTTGCTTTTTTTAAGCTCAGAATTGTAGTTATTTAGCATTTCAAACAGCTGTGAAAGTGCAGGAAATGGCTGCTAGCAGCTAAATTTTGGAAGGAAAACTTTCAAGAAGATTTTCTCTAGTTAGAAAACTTCTTCAATGTTTAGTTACTTTTTTTTTTTTTTTTTCTAACAAGAAAGGTAATGAGCATTTATAGTCCTTTAAAAGCATGTAATATCACAAAATCCACGTGAACAGCATCATCTGAAAGATACCTGCTGTGATTTCTGCACTGGGAACTGTACAAGCATTCCTGAGATTCCCCACTCTTTTAAGCAGGTGGCAGTGTCGGTTAAAAAGACATAGTTTTTCCTGCAGCAGATAGAAACTGTTGCTCTCCAATCTCTCCATTTATCTTAATGAAAGGTAAGAATATATAGCACTTTTATTGGGTTCCTGCCTAGATAAGGTTAGGAAAAAATTTGAAAAGTATGTCTTTGTTGACTCAAAACTCTTTTATTGTTTCCAGATGTGGCTTTGTGAGCTTTCTTTCTCAGAATGAGACTGCAGTACGATACATAACTCTTCTTTAATACCATGTTAGCAGGAAGAACTGTCTTCCAGTGAGGCTGGAGGATGTTGTAGCGCCGTGAGTCAGCACCAGCTCCCAGTTCTTACCACAACACTTTCATAGTCTCAATAAACGCAAAGTCTGTGGCCTTTCTTCTGTTGGACCTCTCATTGTGCTACTGACATAGACTCAGCAGGCAAGGCAGTAAGGATTTGATGTAGGTTCACACGTTTGGACTTTTCCTACTAATTTCTTCTTCCTTTGTTTTGCTGTGCCTAAGATGTGATATCTACCATTTGCACCTATGAATAGCTAGTGAGGTGTGGAGGTTTTTTTCAGATATATCCTATTGTGTTAAGCTGAAATAAACAAAATGCTTTAACAGAGTTTCATTTAATGAACGGTAAGTGGCTTTGATCTCTTGGTAATGTCGGAAAACAACCAATAAAGTTCAGAAGGAATTTTTGAATATTACTACAAATGTGGTAAGAGTCTCTGTCGTGAAGTGTCAGTTTTTTTCCAGGGAGATAAGAGAATGTGTGTGTGCACTGAGAGAAAACTGCCTTTTTTGTTTGTTGTTTTTGTTTTTTGTCTGAATTGCATATCAGAATATTGAAACGGATTTGATTTGAAATGGAATTGATTCTTATTTTCACAAAGTTTAGGATTTTCCAACAGGCCAACTACACCAATGTGGAAGCGTCCAGATTCTTGTCAGGCTGGCCAGACAGAGCAGGTGGTGAGTGGAGGAGAAACCACAAGGATGGCAGAGGGAAGCACTTAGTTCACCAAAATTCACTAGATGAGATTTCCCATTTAAAATCATGTTAACAAAACACTTTAAGGGTTGAGCAGAGTTTCCACCCACCAACGTATGTGTTTCAGAGGCTTCAAGTCACCCTGACTTCCTTCAAACAATGTGATACCCCACCATCAGTCTGGGTTGAACATGAGGAGCTGTCGGTGAGCAGTGAAGACTGTGGGAAGCGCTGTGTGAGGGATAAATGATAGGGACGCTGGGGAGCAGGAGGGTACCCAAGGTCTGCAAGGTACCCAAGGAACCTCAGGTAACCGTGACCCTTGTTTCAGCTGCCAGTGCTTCAGTTCCTTATGTATAAGAAGAAAAGCATGATGCTACTAGCACTTTAGGGTGTGGGGATAGAGCCACCTCCAAGAAAGCTCAAAGCCATCAATTTCTTCTCTACACCACAGGACAACTGCAAACGGGCTCCCCAGATCCCATTCGCCCCTGCACTCCCGCTCCACTCCTTACAAACCCCGCAGTGCCCCAGGTGTCGGGGGCCGCTCTCCCCCAGCCACTGGGTTGAGGCTCCGGCCCCTCTCCGCCCCAGCACGTACCGCTCACACGCACCCCCAGCGCCTCCCCTCTCGCAGCTCAGGTACACCCAGGCGTACAAAACGCCACACGCCTTCCTCGCACACGCACCCCGTGCCACCAATCTTCCCACTCGCCTTCTGGGCGCGCCCCCCCCCACGCGCGCACACAGAACCCCCACGCGCGCACAGACACGCGCGCCTCTCCCCTCCCAGACGCCGGACGCCGAGCGCATGCGCAGCGGCAGGCGCGGAGCTGTCCGAGTGCTGAATTTATAGCGCGGTGCGCTCCCGCCCGCCTCATTCCAGCACGGGCGCTGGGGTTCCCCGCAGCCCCCGCCGCCCGCTCGCTCCCGCACGGCAGCGCAGACACCTCCCTGCCAACGGGGGAGTGGAACAGAGCGAGCCAGTAGCCCCACCACCCTTCCTAAATGCTACTTTTCAAAGCAAAAGGGGAATAAAAAACACACCGGCAACAGACTGCTTGCTCTCAACGCTTACTCCCCTTTGGGTGATGCTCTTTGGGTAGTAGGGTTCTCCCTTCTTTTTACTTCCTTTTTTTTTTTTTTTTTTTTTTTTTTT